TAACAAGCTGAAATAAGTAATAAAATTTTTGTGTTACTTTTGTACGAATTGTTAATATAAAATGCATTTTAAGGCGGTAGTAAAAATTTCATATCCGCAAATTCTTGGATCATCCTAAAAATTCAATCACAATTTTTATCTTCAACATCACTAGTCTCAGTCAACAGTATTCTGAATCTTGAATAGTAACCGAGCTTGTGTGTGCTTTTTAGATATAACTACAGTAGCGTATGTACGGAGATACAAAATAAAATATATATGAGCGCATTTGTAGAACTGGGAAGAAATTCTGCATTTTCTATTATTAAACAGGATATGAAAATATCACATAAATATATTGAATGGAGAATCGCGATTTTGCTATCAGCTCTTTGATGCGATGATCGCAATTCATATATGGAATCGGTCAATACCAGATTTTTATTCAGATTTAAATCGGATATAAACCCTTCGCTCTCAAAAATGAAGAATATTATAAGTTTTGGATGCTTTGAAGTTATAAGAATCAAATGAAAACGTATAATCATATGGGTATGGATCACCATAAAAGTACTATATAAAAATTAAAAAATAACGTGAATACATAAAATTGTTACATAGAATAGCAATAGAATAGTTATAAAATCTTCTTTTAACAAATATTTTAAAAACTTCAAATGAATGCAATTTAGGAAAATCTAAATACATATAATTGATAGCCTATCATCGTTAAATACATTTCAATATTTTAGATCACATTTGTAATATTTTTTCAAAACCATTTTGCAGATTCAATAAAATCCGTTTGTTATAGATTTCTTCCTTTGTTCACTTAATACATTTATTCCTATATTTACGTAAAGAAAATGGATCAGTTAAACATCAGACTGGCAGCGTCAATAATTCTTGTAACCCAAAAAGTACAATCTACTTTTACTTTTAAAAATTATTTTTTGTAAAAGTTGAAAGACAATCATCTTTGAAGGGTTTTTTTCTTGGCCCTGTGATGAGCTCAAAATAGTACTATATCATTTTGTCATAAGTATAAGAACTTATCCAAAATTGAACAAAAATGAATCAATTATCAAAATTCCACTAAAAACTTAATTATATTGCAATTTAATTAATCGAAATCATTAGTACTGGCATGAATTGATTGATTTCAATTGGATTGACTATGAATATCAATATATATATACCTGAAAAAAACATAAGAAAACCATCTATAAAATGAACTTTTCAAGCTCGAAACCATTCGAACTGATTACACCGACAAGACACTGACAATGACGCTCAACATCTGACAGGATTGTTATTATGAGTTTTTTCGTGTTATAAAGTCGCGGATACGTTAATAAAATAAGCCAATTTTCAAATAATGTCATTTCGTCCATAAATACCATTTTAAACGTATTTCCTCTACATAATAAGAATAATAGTAGAGCATCAAAGAATATCAATAATTCGTATTATTTTTTCACTATTCATCAATTAACAGTAGCAAGTAAATATTTGCGCATACACATACAAACACACATGTAATTACTACAGAAAATTGAATAGTAGTCACTACATGAGTGTTTCACTTATACATCTCAGGTTTATATTAATTGAAAATTAGTAAAATGTCCTGAAGTGCAAATTTTCATTATGATCGTTCAATTGTAACATAATGTTATATAGCATGAATATATTGAATATATACATCATGCAGTAACCAACGTGCTCATGATATAATAATTATTGCAATTTCTTGTGCATATAGAGATAGGAACACCAGGTCATCAGTGCTAATAACTCCGGTTCGGTCTCGTATTCAGATAACGATATCGCATAACTTACTGGCTCTTTGACAGCCGCATATTGCACAGGTACATGCACAAGTAGCTTGTTTACAAAGCTTTCCTGTTAAAGTGCGGATAAAGCTCAAAAGCTCGATAGTTCACGGCAACGTGATAACTGTGAGATGGTGTTAATGATTCTCACAAACATTATCAAGTTAGTGGAGAATAAAGTGCTGAATGTTTGCCAAGGATATAAATCATATAGGTACTTTTATGAATGAAAACATGAAGTTGGTTGAAAACAGATTCTTTTTTCATACAAACATCTAAAAATGTTAAAAAAATAGTTTGTGTTCTTATTCAAAATTTGTTTTAGTTTTACTAATATTTTTTCAGAAATATTTAATTTTTGATATTCTAAATTTAATACACTTTTTCCTTATTTTTCTTGTTATTGTATCTTATTTTTTTAAACATCAATTAAATCTTAACAGTTCTATAAGCTGTTGTGATAAATATTCGCTTCTTAACAATGTTGCTTTTAAACTGCAACCAAACGATTAACCCACCAATATTTAATATCATTTCATTACTAGAATTTATCTCATACTAATTATATATATATATATATATATAGCTGTAAGTGGAATTCTGTCTTATGGCAATTAGGGCATCGTGCCTTAAGGCAAATTGCTGGAACTCCCGTACCGCAATTCAAAATTCGAGTAATTAAAAATAATCATTATTAATAAATCAATAAAAGCTGATCAATGATTTGTAACTTTTAATAGAATTTCGAACCATATTAAATCATTTTATCTTAAATCATTTATTTTGAAATATTTTGGAAATTCTGAACTTTTTTTTTCAAAGCAATCGTACTGCTTTAACTGCATAAAGACTGACGCCTAAACATTGGTACGGAACCCATAGGAATGTAAACAAAATTTATACTTATTATTAAAATCTAACGTTCATTTTTGACCGCCAAATGGCTCATTTTTTTACTTTTTCCTCCATATCTCTAAAGTAGTAGGACCTGCCTTTCCAAAAATTTTAACAGTTCTTCATTTAGTTGCTCGGTTTCCCTCGGTTCTCTTAAAAACTGAGTTACCGTTTTCGGCACTTTTTGCCCCGTATCTTCAAAACGGCTAGACCTGCCTTCGCCAAAAACTAATCAGCACGTTTCCTTGTCAATACGAATCGAATGTTTTTTGAATTATTCAAATCGGTGTTCCCGAAATCGTCGACGAAAATTTGTATCCGAACATACATACATACATGCACACACACACTCATACACGCACACATACACACACACATACACACATTTTTTCTGAGGTATGCCAAAATGATCAGAGGGTTTGGATCAGAGGGATCAAAGGTTTTGAAACGTAAAGATCTATTAAAATTTTCATTTTGGTTTTTTTGCGATTACTATAACTTGCCCTACTGGAAGTTAAAAAAATGATAATGACAAATAAAGGAAATATTTTGTATTTAGTAGAATAACTAAATAAAAAAAATCTATCGTTTTCTCTTATTTAATGGGTTTTTATCATTAGCAAAATTAATGGTAAAAATTGACTCTTCTTAAGCCAAAAAAGCATTTTAAATACTATTATGTGTTATCAGTTATGAAAATGTCAAATTTCCGATATCACTACTTTTTGACTAGCCACTGTTGTTCTCAAATTTGTGAACAATTTACAACATCAGTGAAATTTGCATAACAAATATGAATGCACTAGAGTTTAAGAGGAGTTCAAGCCTTTTGTTTGTGCAAAAGTTACTGTACCTACTGTATTATAAAAATATGTACCTATATAGTAGTTACTACATTGTATCAAGCTCACTAAGATTAGTAATTTTATAATCATAAAATTGTAATGGTTATTAAATAATCAAAACAGTTTCCCATATTACTCAAAGTTTCTTCACATTAAATAATAAACTATCGCACAATTTTCCCTTACGTAATTATTATATTTACATAAAATTTGCATCCGTCGTTCATCAACTTTAAGTTTCCTGGAAAACTCAAGGAAATGATTGGAAAAATTTCGATTCGATAGTAAATAAATGTCAAAGGATTTTAATGATTCAATCTGTATGTACAAACATTCCTACTTTAAAGAGAGTATACAAGAACGAAACTTTTGACGTCAAAGTTTCTGAGCCGATCTGTATTTGCTACCGGTGAAGTTTTCTAAATAGAATTGATTAAAGCCATTATGAAGAATCTTTGTTAGCAGATGTTGTCAACGTTCTCACCGTGAATGAAATATGACAATAGTAAATTATGCTTGCCGAAATATGAAGTTACAAATAATACACAAATAACTCATTCATTGTGAAATATAATGAAATAAAAAACGACAATCGAAGAACAGTATTAAGAGATAATTCTATCCAAAATTTTTAAACTGCAATTTGAACTAAATTTGTTCAAATACAGACGAAAAAAAAATAACAGTGTAAAATGAAAGATCTACTTAATACCTACTATATATAGAATTATTCATGATGATTGAGATAATTAGGAAATAAAAATGTTTCAAGTCGGAAAGATCGGAATCAATATATGATTCACAATTCTAGTGGATAATACTGTGGTGCCTGAAGGCGAATTTCTTAAATTTCTTCAATTATTAATAGCATTAATATTTTCTCGAAAAACTTCGGATTTTCGATAATTCTTTCGAACTTTCCTAGAAATGTTCAATTCTATTGACAAATTTCAAAATTTTCAATAAAAAAATTTCAATATAACGTTACATCTCACTAATTTTAAGAAAATGATGAATATAAACTTTATAAAATAATATATGATGATACGAAACTTTAAGTTAAACAAAAAGTATTTGTGGTTTTAAATAACACTAAAAATTTAAAAACCAGTAAATATACATAAACGTAAAATTAGAAAAAGTATAATATAAACATTAAAGTTAAAATAAAAGAAAAAAATGCACATTGTTGAAATCTGTATAAAAATTCACAACTTATATTTATTTATTTTTACTTTCAATCAAGTGATTATTTTTGCTTCTTTTGATGATTTTTTGCTTTTTCCTACCCCTGAAACTGCTTTTCTCAATCAAAGTGAACTTATCATACTATCAGCAAGAAGCAAATTATTTCGAAAAGAACTTTTCTTCCATTTATAGGTGTATTTTACAAGTGTTGTATAAATGATTCGTAACTGATATTGTAACTATAGATATATAATCTTACCTGATATTAGCTGCAAAGATCCTGCCACTCGAGCAGATCCCGAATGAACGACGTATGTGATACAGCAGGCAGCCGTGGCTGTTACAGCCACGAGAAGGCTAAGAGCACTCCCGGTACCAACGAGTACTGTGCTCGCTTGCCACCAAGGCGATGGTATATCCCAAAATCTGAAACATAAATCAATAGATCATTATAATTTGTAATTGTAATCAATTGTTATATAATTTTTTAGTATTTTAATTATTGTTACATCTGAAAATAGCATTACGTATAATTAAATCTTAAAAAAATTAAGTCAACATTTGTGATTTCCAATTGGTATGATAGTTGCAGACCTATAATTCGTAAGGCAATATTGTGCCCACTTGATGAAAGTGCTTTCCTAAATAGGCGTGAGTTAATCTTTTAACATAAATCGATAGATTATTATCAATATTATAGATTAGATATTAATAAATATTGATAGTAGCTATATATTAATAATAATTGAGACAGAATTTGTTATACTCGATTGTTACCATACCTGGATATAAACTTTGTATATAAAAGCTGAGATATTATCAAATGCTTTATTATATGCGCATGAGAATCTTCCATATCTTTTAGCTGCTTTGATATGAAAAGAGTTAGAAGGTTTAAATAATGTCGAACCAAGTTCTAGTATCAAAATAAAAACTCTAATATATTAATTACATAGTAAAATCTAACTGAAGCAAACAATCATATACACCACTAAGAAATCATCGAACTATGATTAACCAAAAATACGATTAATCGAATGTAGTTGTTTGAAAAATGCAAACTATGATTAACCAAAAGTACTAAGAAA